TTGCTCAGGGACCCAGAGTGGCAGTCTGTGGGAGTGGGGGATCGAATTCACAATCTCAGGATTGAAAGCCCTATGCCCTAACCACTAGGCTGCCACTCCCCTTACATATTAAGAGAAGAAAAACATTATTTTGTTTTTTTTGAGGCTCAAAATGGATCAATATTTTACTATATCTGTTTTCTGTCCTCCTGAAGTTTTTTTTTTTTTTTTTTCTCTCGAGGAGATTGATAAATTGCATTTTCGTTCCCTCCTGTTTTTGCTGGAGTTTGTCTCGCTTGCTGTGTACGCTCTGTGCGACACCAGACTCTTTCCCCATTTGATTAACAGATTATGTTTTGTATGTTTCCACAAAGCGGATGTGTTTTACTTTGTAAACATGTTCCTCTTCCTGTCCGACCTATGAAATTGCTGCTGAATTACAGCGCAGGCCAGCTAAAACAGACCTGGGGTCTATCTTGGCCGGATTTACACAAGCCCCCTTGTAGAAAATCGTGTCAGGTGTGATCATCCCCTTTTACTTTTAATGAAAGCTAAATGCCACGACCTCGTCCCAAAATTTTTTCTGTCTGATCAGATCAGATGCAATATCGGATCCGGTGTGTTCTGGCCTGTAGAATCGAGTTTCCCTCCAGCGCGCTAAACGCCAGGACCTTGTCTGACCCGGTTTTTTTTCTGATCGGATTCCAAATCGGATTCGGTGTGTTCTGTTTTTTATCCAGAGGACTTTAGAAGGGATTGGGGTCTTGTTGGAGAGATATCTTATTGAACATTGTTGACAAACTCAAGCATTTAGTAGGCAGCCTTGGAAAAAAAAAAACACCCCAAAAACTCAGGTAATGTTTCATTGAAGTCAGACATGGGAAACTCCAGATCTCAAGAGCTGGTATCCTTCAACTTCAAGATGTTTCCTTGGTCCAACATACCTGAATCAAACGATTGAATTACCTCCTCAGTATGCTGTCGATATCGCCAGTCTCTTAGTTGTCTACGGTAACTGCTTGGTTCAGGTGTGTTGGACCATGGGTCAATTGCCCAGCAATGAGAAACTGGATGCCAGCTCGTCATATACTCCAGGTGATGACAAGATAAATGGCAGATGTGAAGAAAGCATACCAGCAGATGTCTTCAACATCAAACAAAAACTAAGCAAGAAAACACAGATTCAAACCTCCGAACACTGGAACTAAGATCCCTTTACACAAAGAAAAAAATTAAACATGCATTTTGATGAAATAGATTAGATTTTTGCCCTCAGCCACCCTACCTCCTCGCTGTTATCCTGTTCTCTGCTCATTGCTTTGAGCAGCTCAGCCCAGGTCAAAATCCGCCTTTAGAACATCTACTTCTTGCAGCTTTACGCTTCTACTGTATTTGTTTCATCTCATGGAAACTTATTATTTGATTTCCACCAATGTTCAGTTCAACACGGCAGGCTGCCACTTAATTCCTACTGTCAGCATAGATCACAGCATTGACATCAAACTCCATGGGGACTCCTGGCAGACCTTATATGTCAACCTGTCCATCAGCAGCCCTGAGGGTGATCAACATGAATACTAATGAAAGCACAAAAGAAATAGTCACACAACTTAATGACTAGTTGCACCCCACCTCCCCCCACATCAACATTATCCTTGGCTTGCTTTCTTGCTGCTGTGTTTCAATGTCAGATTAGAGATCCTCCATTTCTTTTTATTTTACTTTATGTGCAGATGTTGCATCAAACGGGTATCATGTTATCGCTACTGTGTACTAGAGGTGTCACAGAGATAGATGACGCACATAGAGTATGTATCCAGTAGAGAAAGGTAGTAGGTCTTGCTGGCATTGATACATGAAGGTAAAGCTTTATGTTTTTATGAAAATATCTCCTTATCAAAATCTGGCTGAAGAAGGTTTAAAAACTCCTAATAGTATCAGCGCTCTCTGTCAGATATGGGATTCCTTTTAGGCAAAAGATAAACAAAACAATAAGAAAATACAGTAATTTTTTATCAGTTTCTTGGACCAGAGTTTACAAGCATTTATGAACATTACCTGGCACATCGCAATATATTTTTAGATGGATTTAAAAACCCAACAGACTGCACACAGAAGAGGAACAGAAGCTATGTAAAGAACTCTGCACCTCATATCTTCTATTTATTATCCCTTTAATCAAGAGGCAGGCATGTTTTGAAAGGATGAATAGTCTGGTAGAAATATCTCAAAATCAATACATCTTCTGTTCTCTCATGCAGAAAAAAAACCCAGACATCCTCCACAATGAACTTCTATTTAAAAATACTTAATCATCCCAGAGGAAAATGAAATGTTAAAAGGCTTCTTACCTTTCATGATGGAAGTGCAAAAGGATAAACAGTTTACAGCAGAGGTCTTCAACAAACCTTTGGTTGATATGTCTTTTTTTTATATTCCTCCCTGCAATTTTTTTCACTAATTGAAATTTCTTTAAATACACATTAACATGAATTCAACACACTGTAGTAAGCAGATAAATGGAGGCAGAAGATGTCTTTCAGTCATCAATGCACACATTCAGCGACACACAGGAGCTCTTTCAAGCTGGGCACCGTTTCATTTACAACACCTGTCCCATCAACCAGGAATCAGAATCAGAAATACTTTAATAATCCCAGGGTGAAATTACTCCATCTTTAATAGAGTGACTATAGGACCAGTTTGATATAACACAATTTCATACAATATAAGTAATTAGGGGGTCCCCGCTCCATCTCGCCATCAGTTTGGGGTTCCTTGGCCTGGAAAACGTTGAAGACCCCTGGTTTAGAGGATAAACCTGATGGACACCGACTTGATGAGAATAAAGATTCCACCAGAAATGTGTCTAATGACAAATTTTTCTGCAAGAAGTTTCTCGATCGTTCTGCATGGAGTTTGCATGTTCTCAATGTGCATGTGTGGGTTTTCTCCAGGTACTTCAGCTTCCTCCTACAGTCCAAAAACATGATTTTAGGTTAATTGGCATCTCTAAATCCTCCTTTGGTGTGCGTATGTGAGCGCGCATGGTTGTATGTGTCTCTTTGCTATCCTGTGACAGACTGGCGACCTGTCCAGGGTGGACCCCGCCTCTTGCCCGTAGACTGCTGGAGATACGTACCAGCCAAAAAATAAATAGGAGAAAATGGATGGATGGAAGCCCAGGGGGCATTAGCCTTTTTTACAGATACCGTCTTAAGGTTATCATTTTCTGGAGCAAAACTGTGTAGCCAACCAGCTTCTCTTTATGGTCCTCCAATCTATATATGCTTAAAATGGTGAGTCAGGACATGCAATAAAAAAAAAAAGGCATGAGCCAGAAATGTCTCTTTTATGTATATATGCTCTTTAATCTGAAATCCACATAAAATCTTTTAGTGCAGTGTAATAAAGTTAACAAGTACAACATAACATAATCAGCTTATATTTTATATTTTGGTCAACTTTAGGAAATAACAATACGCACAAATTTGATAACAAAACACAGCAAGAAATTCAAAACAGTTTTTCCTAATCTCTACATTCGTCTTATCGGACAATCTTCAAAATAATTCAACATACATTATGCAGAAAATATTCCTACCCCTGGTATTTTTTACTGCACACTTCAATTAAGTTTTATAAGACAAATACAAGTAGAGCAAAACTGAGGAGGAAGGAAAATTATGTAACTTAAAAGTGTGGTAAGCATTTGTACTCACTGTCCTTTCCTCTGATAACACTAAAAACGTCCAGACTGCCTTTAACGTCTCCTAGTGGTGACAATTAGAGTTCCCCTCGGTGTAATTTAATCTCAGTATAAATCCAGCGGCCGTATGAAGGCCTCAGAGGTTGTAACATCAGAGAATAATGAAGAACAAAAGGGAAATTGAGCTGATGGGTCAGTGAAAACACTGTGTAGTGGTTAAGTTATGAAGAACTATTCCATGTCTGAACGTCTCACAAAGGTTTGTTCAATACATCATTTGAATATGGAGAGATCATAGCACAACTGAAAAACGTATAAAGACTTAGATGTGCATCTAATCAGGCAGTCAGGGTAGGAGAATTAAAGCTGGGTGGGAAAATATTTAATCAAAACAATGATTTGCCATGTGCTTAACAAATCTGGCCTTTAAACTATTGGGCAAGATGATCCTCTTCATATGTATTATTTGAAGTTTGATCAATGAGGGAAAAGATGAAGTATAGAAAAGATTTACTGCACAGGAAAGAACAATTTTGAGTGTATCTACGAAAGAAAACTAATAAAACACCTGAACGTACCAAACCCACTTCACACAGAGGCATCGGACTGAAAAACATTCACAGCTGTAGTTTTAGTCAAAGATGTTTCTACATCATACAGTATGGACTTAGGGGTTTGATTACAAATGCATGCCACACTTTTATGATTCATTTTTGAAATTCAAAAAATTATTCCTTAACTCAGAACTCCTTGATATTTGTTGTTGGTCCATTACATAAAGTCCCAATAAAAGTTTAATACTGCAAGGTGATACATTAGTAAACACTTCAAGATGAGTGAATCAATCTGCAGCAGACTGGTTATGTCATCTGAAGAACAGGTGCAGAAGATTTACAGACGTCTAATTTAAGAAAACAAGTTAAAACATTAGTTATCATATACATATATATTATATAAATAAATGCCACAATCTTAAATTCTTTAAAATGTATACAGTCAAATAGACAGAAATCTCAGCAGTGCCTTAATCACCCCTTCAGTGTTTAGTAGAATCAACACTTTTTAATTTTCATGACCCTTCATATAAAAAAAATAAAGTTTACAATGTTCTGCAAAACACAGAGCAAAAGAGTCAGCTATGAAACCCACACATGGAAACTTACAAAGACAGAAAAAAAAGCAAAAAAAAAAAAATGGTTTTTTTTATCAGGTGTGGGGGAGAGTAAGGGTTATGCATTTTTCCCCAACATGCAAAAGAATAATAATGACAAATGATTAAAAAAAAACCAAACATATATTTACAAAGCCCACATTGAACACTGCTTCAAACCGCCATAGTCAGACATGAAATTGACGGATTTTACACAGACTTTGCATTTCTAGGTCTGTAAATTCTACTCAGTTCTTGGTCGTTTTCACACCTGACATTTGTCTGGATGTGTTCATGCACTCGTATCTTTCAGATGGTTTAGAGCTGTACAGTAGTCATGCATAATATAGATGTCCAGCTATACAAAGAGTGAGCACTAGGTGGCAGCCTTTCCCCACTTTGTAAGCAGTTTCATTCTGCAAGTAAAATGTAAAGTAATAACAGGAGCGGACGGTACATGCATAAGGCAAACACTATGCTAGGAGTCAGTCGTATTGCTTTTCATAGAATGTGCATTGATCCTAGATTAGCATTAATTTGATCTATATATGCATACTTTTTAAACACTAATGTAGGGACATCACTGATATGCAGCCTTTATCTGGGTTCTATGGTTTTCCTTCTTTTCTGGCATCAAACTAAGCAAATTTCTAAGTTTTGTTGTTTGTTTTTTCTACCTTATTGAGTCCTTGAGCATATCTATGTCTTGTCTCCTCTCTCTTACCCTTGTTCCTCTTTTCTTCCCTCTACCATAATTCCCTCCCTCTGGCTCTTTTCTTTCTTTATTTCCTTCTATCCTTCCTTCTTCCTAACCCCCTTCCTTTCCCCCACCTCTCTGCAGGACAGCTGGAGAGACTGGCATTTCTCTCGCAGCAGGGGTGGAATATGCACCCAGCATCAGCCCACGCTGGGCAAAGAGAAGGTGGGTGTGGTGTCGCAGACAGAGTCATGCATGTTCGTGAGCGTTGGTGTGAATGTAAGTGTAATATGTGTGTCTACTTCTGATGCAACATTGGACCCTCACCCTGGATCTGCCAGTGTTCGTCTGCAACCTTCACATGAGCAATTTAGTCTGCCCCAGTCTAATTGCTCAGGAGAATAAATCACTCTGAGATGTGAGAGACAACTAGAGTGAAATAGGGTTAAAACTCCTTTGGCCAGAGGCTGTTATAGGGACAAGTTATAGCTCATCAAGGGCCTAGAATTGATTTAGCTTCAATTGAATAGCAAATTTTGCTCCTAATTGGACAGAATAAGAAATGTCAAAACAGTTTGTAGATAATTGTGGAACATTCTTCATTAGGGGTGTCCGATAAAGACCCAATGATAGGAATGTTGAGGTAAATACTAGACATCCAGTTCTGAATGTCAATTCCAGAAGGTTGCAGTCAGGGTTCAGTCTTACTGCTCTTTAGTAATGTAATTGAAAAGTAATAGGAGGAAGAAGAGCAGATGAGTTACAGCAGCAGGTGGGTCAAGGATGAGCGACTGCTGTGCAGATGGGGTGTGCCTGTTTAGACTCGCTGTGGATAAGAGAGCAAGAAGGGCAAGCAGATGCTTGATCCTCCCTTCTTTTTGAAGTGTCAAATAAATGTAAGAGAAGGTAGCGACAAGAAGTCTAGGAAGGCGAAAAAGGGAGATACAAAGGGATATGTGACGGGGTATGCCGGTCACATGTGACGGTGCAGCTGCGGCAGTGGGGAGGAGGAAAGGGCCGGTCGCGGTTCAATTCCTCGGCTCTTCATAAATGACAGCAGCTGGTCTGGGATCTCAGCGAGGACATCTTTGGCCAGTCGGGCCATGCTGAGAACCTGGTTACCGGATCTGTCGATGTAGTCTCTGAATGGAACAAACTGGAGGCAGAAAGAAAGAAAATCTGTCACACAGAGTCGTACAGATACCACATGTTGTTGTGCTACAACCACAGATTTCAACATGTTTCATCAGAATTTTATGTGATAGATCAACACAAATGAGTGCAGTGTTTTTCAGGGTGGGGGTTTGGCTCTGAGCTGCAGAGAAGAGCTATGGCAGAACCCAGATGAGCCGCAGACATGTGGACTTCAGGCTAAATGATGTCTGATGGCAAAACAATACACATCATTTGATCTAAAGAAAAAAAAATTAATCCTGATTTTAAAGATTTTATTGTTAATTAGAGTCAGCTGTCTCATTTCTTATCAGAAACATAATTATTGGACGAATGGAAATAATTTATTATTTGAAGAGGATATAATAAAGGATTTTGGTCTTCTACACTGAAAGAAATAATGCCACCGCTTTTGGCTTTTACTTAATCAAATTTAGTTACTTTAACACAATTGTTATATGTCATACCTTGCTAAACAATTATGTTAAAGTAACTAAAAATGATTAAGTAAATGCCAAACGGTTGCATGATGTTTTTCAGTGTAGCAAACCTTATGGGGACTTTTCTTGTCTTTGATGGCCATTCATAACTAGGGATACCCCGATCTGATATTAATCTTGGATATCGGTCAAATATAAGCCAAATAATTATAATATAAGATCTTATCAGCAAGCATCTAAAATTTCTGATATTTTAATGCTGATAGAAACACATGCTATTCTACATGAGTCCATAGTTTTTATACCTTTCCTTGTTGACTTTTCTTCCCTGTTTTAGTAATATAACTTGGAAACACATTCTCTAACATTCTAAAGTATAAAAAAAGTAATAAAAGCTAGTGTGATTTATACTAATATCGTATCGGGTCAAAATAAATTTTGGTCAATTCTAAAAGCTGCAAATATCGGGATGGGAAATGAATACGTATTACTGGGACATCCCTACTCATAACAACAGATTCTCCTACTTGGGCTGAGACCAGAAACAGAAGAGCTGCACTTATACTGATGTTAGATTCCACATATTTCTTAATCAGGTCATTTAAAAAAAACAAATGTTTACATTGGATCTTATTTGGGGGTATCAGAGTAATAAAGGGCTACTGTATATACAAAACCAGTTTTCTGATTTTTAATCATAAATGTCAGATTCATGCATTCATCCCTTCATTGCATCACTTAACATTAACCTGTGTATCACTTTGTGTTGATTTGTCAAATGAAATACTAAGAGATTGCTTTCAAATGGTTGCTGTAAAGGTAAAAAATGTCTAGAAACAGAATTTGAGTTGGTCTACGGAATATTTAATGATTTCATGCTTGCCAGATTGAAGTAGGGCTTATGCTTCAGCTTATTAGAGAAAATGTCCTATTTATTTTTACATAAGCATAGGAGATAATGTTCTTCAGTTAGGTAGATAAAAAAAACCCCATCAAGACTGTATTTTAGTACTCAGTTTCTTTAGTCTATATCAAGAAAAGCAAATGAGTTAAAATACAGGTATTTGCAGTAACCAGGAAATGATAAAAGATAAAACTATATGGAAAAAGATGGGAGCTGAGCACAGATGAATGTGGTCTGATAAAGAAGCACTACAGTAAGCTTCCAGCAAATAAATCAGTTGAATTAATAGCCAGCTGAAAGAAGTTGTTTGACTTTGGTGATGTCTCTGGGGTTGCATAATTGTCTGAATGCTGAATAGTTGTGTCTAGGAGAGGCCAATAAAGCTACACTTTAGAAAATAAATAAAGAAATAAAAAAAAAAGGAAGCTCAAGAGAGAACCTTTGGCCTTAGGCTATAAATTCTGAAGGGTTTAGATAAGTGGATTTCCAAACTGTGGGAAGTTCGGAAATCCACTTCAGGTTTCTTTTCTTTGGGAAATTCTTTACGTGTCCTTTGCCAATAGTGTAATACTTTACAAGTAGCAAAAGTAAAAGCCTTAATAAAACAAAATATATATTTTTAAATAATCCTGATTAATCAAATCTTACAAGCTTCTGAAAAATATTTGGACACATATTGCCAGTCAAGATGTGTGATACTTACAGACGTGCCAAAGAAGGCTGAATACTGAGATTTAATCAAAAGGTGCCACAGTAAAGAGGTGGCTTAAGCAGGTGCAAAATGATGTGACCAATTACTGTAACCTCTTTTTATTTGCCCTTGAAAATAACTGTATGTTATTGTGTAAATTAAACAAAAAAATATCACATGAAAGTAAAAAGAAAAGGTTTAATGTGATTCATCCCGATTTTAATTTTTGATATCATTAATACTTTAAAATTTCTAAAGGGAGAACCATGATGGGCCATCCATGATGTTTGGCATAAGCAGACCACTGCTAATAGTTCATCAAAGAATTAGAAACAACACTTTCCATACTGGCTTCATGCCAAAAATACAAACTCATTTTATTCATATAGGGAAACTTCGTGACCAAGTATCACAGCTGTTAGGCCTATTATATCACTATTCACAATCAGATCTGACCACAATGATCTTCCTATAAAATTGACCTCCTCAGTTGGGAAGAACAAACACCTCTAATTTTTACATTTTAAACAGTTCAGACCATGTAGATGTCCTAATACAACACAAAAAATTTGTAACAACAATTTGTAACAAACATTCAATGGTACTTCATGGTCAAAATGAAGAACCATTGAAATTTTAGCAGCATGTATAGAAAAATGAGCCTGATAATCTCTTAGTTTCTCCAAAGCTTTGCAATTGCTTTAACCACTGATGACAATGTTAATCTCAGTATAAGGTATATTTTTAAGACAACATTTGTTCTTAGTTTTTTAAATTCACTGAAAGTAATACTTACCTAAAGGTAGAAAATGTTCATTTAGAAAACGATATTATGCCCCCTCTAACAAAGTAAAGCAAAATAGCACACATTTTTTGTTCCCCACCCGATCCCCAAATACCAGCAATATATGACATGAGCATCGTTACACTCCTAATGTGTTGGTTTTTAAAAACAATAATCCATCTTAAGATTCAGATTTCTTTCACATAGGTCTTTTTGGTGAGCTGCTTCTGCCTCTGTGCTTCCTACTTAATACCTGCTATGAAACTACCTTTTTAGTCACAAAACATGTTTTTTGACGTGACTATTTCAGGCAGGGATTGTCATCATGGTTTAAAGGCTTTAAAAACAATGAATAGTTTAATTCTCCTCTGTTTTATCTATTTTAAATGCATTAACCACAAAAACAGGCCAGCGCTGCTTATGATAATACAGGCAGGTTTTATCAGTTAAAGAATAAATGGTTGAATATTTCAGAGACCAAAAGACCACATTATCTGTCATACTTTAAGGCAAAGTGAATATACATAACTATAGTATATCAAAAAATAAACAATTGTGAGGACAAACAATTAGGAAGCAGAAAAGTTATTGTGATAAAAACTGTGGAGTTTTAAATGCTGCTGGCTGACTGAAGGAAAGCAATTATACTTCTGTGCTCAGGGCAATCATTTAATGAGAAGGTCCTGAACTGGTACTGGCTGAGGGTGAGATGACAGCAAACAGTGACTGCAAGATGACTGTGCTGTGTTAAAAAGTTATTTCAATTTTTCTTTAAAACTTGTTGTTGTTTTGTTTTCCTTTTTTGTATTTGAATAAGACATGAAATGTCCACCACAGAAGTGAAAAAGTACTGTGCACATGGAAATAATAATAATAATAATAATAATAATGATCAAGAAGATGGACAAGAAAACCTAGAGAAAAGGACTAAGATTGTATTTACATCAGAAGTCCATTGGTCTACCTGTCTGGTCTGGAATTTACTTTTTACATTTGGTCCTGTATTCAAATACGGTAATACTTTTTCTCATTAGACTATAACTCCCAGTGGTCAGAAATTTACAAGGGCAAGACAGAACACAGACCCAATGCCTATTCCGCAAAACCAATATAGGGGATTAAGCCAAGATTTGTCCATACATGATGATTTAATTTCCCTTTTAGATTAATAAAGTAATTCTGAATAGAACTAAATGAATTAAGCTCAGCTTGGTTTCACAAAAGCAGAAGCATACATGGTGATTTATGCTGTGTAGCTAACCAGCTTAACCAGGTTAACAGCCAGACTTTTAAAACCCTGGTGCCTTTTCTGTTCAGTCCTTTCCACACAAATAAAAAATTAATGAGTTTTGTCAGTGATTCTTTTCTCTTATCTGCATGTTGTGTTATTTATTATCAGTCTACAAAAAAAGCCACTAATACATATTTTTCTAGTCATCACAATGGTAATCTCTACCATCACTAACTATATAATTCTCCATGTGAACATTGTTACTGTTAAGTTGTGGTTTTTAAGATGACTGTCCTTCCTTCCTTCCTTCCTTCCTTCCTTCCTTCCTTCCTTCCTTCCTTCCTTCCTTCCTTCCTTCCTTCCTTCCTTCCTTCCTTCCTTCCTTCCTTCCTTCCTTCCTTCCTTCCTTCCTTCCTTCCTTTTTCTATGCCATTAATGATGTACCCAAGATTTGATATCTAGTCTCCCACAAAATGCCACAACATAAAGTAATATATATTGATAATCTCTAAGATGTTACATGTTACAATATCAGCTTCCTTTATTCATTTTTAAATAATTTTTTTTTCAATAATTACAAGCAACTCCTTGAATTGTATGTTTTAGGAAAGTGGTTGGGATATATTTATCTATTTTTTTATATTGATTAATCTGTAAATTGTGAAATCAACTGTAACCCCAAATCTGTGATTGACCTCATGGTCTCTTGAAGAAAGCTCTGGACCTGCATTTTACTTAATTTCTTATATGTGGCTGCACATAGCTGTACCTGTTGAGCCTTGCTTTTCTTTATGAAACAGATAAAGCCAAGATGGACTCATAACGCTTGGTCGAGCAAGGTTTTATCTCTTATTCTGGAGTTGCTAATTCAACTTTTGTGAAATAGGCCTCCAAAAATGTAGGACAAGTACTGTGGAATCTTGACTGCAGCAG